AGCACCCTCCCTAGTCAACCAATGGCCACCTGGGTCTGCGCCCAAAGCCCTCTGCGCATGCTCAGAAACGTCCTGCTCATTCATAGCCCGGGCATGCAAGACATGCCACCAGAGTGTGTGTGAAAAGTCTGATTTGGGGGACACACACACACACACACACAGAGGCCACGGCTGGACTTTGCTTGGGGCCTGCCCAGCAGCTGCCAGGGACAGCCACGGAGTCAGAAGGGTGAGAGGGAGGGACGTGGCAGGATGGAGGGGAACTTTGCCCAGGGCAGATGGGGGGGGGAACTGCAGCCCCAGACAAAGAGAGGGGCTGTTCTTGGCCGTTGCACAAGGGGTGGGGTGGGGGGAATCAGCATCCTCGGAATTGCAGGGGAGGGGGAGGGCTGGGGGTGGCAGGCAGGCAGGCAGGCAGGGGGAGAGGCCCCCTTCCTCCCAGACTCGGATAAATTTAGCGGAGATTCTGGAAACAGCTGCCCGGGGCAGGATGCCAGAGAACAGGGCGGGCTGTGGAGGGAGGGAGGGAGGGAGGGAGGGAGGGGGCCTGGGGGGGGGGGGGGGGGAAACGGACCCTGGAGTGTAAACATGAACTTTCCCCCAATTCCTCCTCCTGCCCCTCCTCCAGAGAGACGAGGGAGGGACCGGCTTGCATCATTCAGCTGGCAAGGGAGGTGACTTGTGCAGGAGGCTGCAAGCAGACACACACACACACACACACACACACACACACACACACACACGCACGTGGGGGGGGGGAAGGAGGAGAAAAGTTGGATCAAGGACAGGCCTGGGAAAATTTGAGCCGGGCCGACCTTGCACCAAATTCTTGAGGACTAGCATTCTTGAGGACTAGCAGCCATTCAAATCATCTTCTTCGCCGCCTTTGGGTTTCCCAGGAAAGAAAGAGGGACGGGAGATGGGACAAGGGCCAAGGATCCCCGAGGGTCTCCCTTCAATAAAGAGCGGAGCAGACCACCACCACCCCCGTCTCCAGCCAATCAAAGGCCAGTGGGCAGGACAATTCGAAGGAGCCTCTCTCTACAGAAGCAGTCTACCGTCTCCGCGCAGCCAAGGGTGCCCTTGCCCACCGGCACCCACAGGAAGAGACGCCCGTCACCACCTTCCCTCCCACACTCAAGCTACAGGTAGTCCTCGACTTACGACAGTTCACTTAGTGACCGTCGCAGTGTCCTGGATGGCAGTGTTACGGGATCCCCTTTTTATGACCTTCTGACCAGCAAAGAGTCAATGGGGAAGCCGGATTCACTGAACGACGCGTGACGCTAGCTTGCCGACTGTATCGATTCACTTAACATCCGCGGCAAGAAGGTCGCAAAATGAGGAAACGTTCAACGAACCCAGCCTCGCTTGGCTTCAGAAATGTTGGGCTCATTTCGTGGCCGGACATCGAGGACCACCTACACCCAAAGAGCAAGGACTCAGCTCTTTTTTTCTCCTGCCTCAGTTTCCCCCATGGGCACAGGGGTACGAGGCCGGCTCCTCTCGTAGCTTCCCTCCAAAAGGGCCAATGAGAGTGTCGGTTTAAGTCAGAGGACGGTGCGAGGCCAGTGGGGAGTCTGAAACAGGTCAAAATGCCCCCCACCCCCATCGTGCCCACTTCGGGGCTTTTGAGAGAGACCCAGAGATCATCCAGATGTTTCTTTTCAGAGACAAGATCAGAGGCGAACAACGGCGCACGAAATCTAACCCAGTTTTAACAGTGTCGGGGGCTACGGTGCCATGCTGGCGAGACGCCACGCATTGGGCGTCCAATCCGAGCCTCCCTCATCCATCGCTCCCTTCTCGATGTGCTAGAACCCGGCTCCCATCGTCCACAGCAGACTCAGGGAGCCTCCATTTGACCTAACCAATTTGCAATGGGGGCTTGACAAAAACACACACACACACACACACACACACAAAACATTGGGGGAAAAAGCTTAAATGCCCTGTGGGTTTTAACCCGTCTTTGTAAGGGGGCAGGGGCTGTACGTGGGTGTGCGTGAGGAGGGGGGGCAAAATCACCAGACCCCCCCCCCCCGGCATCCCAAGCCTTTGTCATCGGCGTGAGTCACAGTTCCTCCAGGCTGACCAACGCCCGTTCTGGGAAAAATCTCCACCGTCCTTTCACGGTTAACTCATCGTCTTGTTCTGTGCTGGGATCCTGCCCACGGCCCCCCACCCCAATTCCAACCCAGTTTATCTACAAAACCCCAGTTCCCCTCTCTTAGACGCTTCCGGCAACCAAGCCTGAGCTGCCCCCACCCCTGCCAATTACCCTGGATCGGACGGTGCCCCTTGCAAACTGTGACAGCCTGAACTCGAGGCTGTCAGGTAGACTGCCCTGACACCTGGCTGCCCAACGGGTTAATTATCCCCCAATAGATCTGCGCTTGGTTTCTAAGCCTTTTTTTAGCTCAGTGGGGATTATGGACTTTCTTGGGGTGAAATTTTGGATTGGCCCTCTCCAAGCTATCTCCCCCGCCCACCCCCACCCCAAAAAGATGACCTCTAAGCAAAGTGGGGGACAAACCTTGAATTAAGGAGAAACTTCCTGACAGGGAGAATAATTAACCAGCGGAACTCCTTGCCTCCAGAAGTTGTGAATGCTCCAACACTGGGAGTTTTTAAGAAGAGGTTGGATAACCATGTCTGGAATGGTATAGGGTCTCCTCTTAAGTAGGGGGTCAGACTAGAAGACCTCCAAGGACCCTTCCCGCTCTGTTATTCTGCGAATCTAGGATTCTTCTGGCAAGTCTGCTTCCCTAAGTAGGAAAAATCTGTATTCCGACATTAGCCAGGAAGAGCAGCCTTTCCCGCAGTTGGAATCTCCCCCCAGGAGCCAAAACCTCAAATTCAGGCTGGCTGGGAGGGGTGTGTTGGGGGGGGCGAGTTTTTCTTGGTGTTTTTTGGGGGGGGGGCCCAAAGGCAAGCCAGCCTCTCTGCCCTTCCTGGGGGGAATTGAAGGATTTCTGGCTCTGCTCTCTGCATATTTTGGAAACCCAGAGCAGGAATGGGGAGGAGGGGGAGATTGGCCTTTCCCCTACTTGGCGAGAGGCCAGCCTTCTCTTTTGCTTCCCAGCCCCCCCATGAGCCCCCCCCTTTTCCCCATGGCACGCCAGCCATTAACCCCGCAGCTCCCGGACTGGCAAGCCTTCCGGCTCAACCTCTGACATACTTGGCAAGCGGCCACCCCACGGCGCTCAACGGGGAAAGGGAGGGGCGGCGCTTTCGCTAACCGGCAGCCTCCAGATGTTTGGGATGGGGAATCTGGGAGGGGCCCTCCCTGCACATCTGGAGGGAGAAGACCAAACCAGCCCCCCCCCTCCCCGCCCAAAGAGAGAAACCCGGAGTCTCTTCAAGGGGCGTCCGGAGGGCAGCTGCTGTTGGCGGAGGCAACATTTTGGGTAGCAAGCGGGGATCTTCAAACTTTGGCAACTTGCGAGATTTATGGGCTTCAAGTCCCAGAATTCCCCAGTCAGCCGGGCTATAGAATAGAATTCATGATTGGCCGAGTGTGATTGGACACAAATTTTTTTTTGCTTTGTGGCGCTGAAGCCCACAAGTCTTTCCTTTGCCGAGGTTGGGCACCTGTGGTGGAAAGCTTGAACAAAGCAAAGGAGAGGAAGAGGGTTCCTGAGCATGCACAGATCGAGAACTCAGAAAGGTCACGCCTGAAGCCAGGTGGATGTCAGCACAAAGCCAGTTTCTGTGGGGTTTTGTGGTTTGGGTGCGCGCGCTTTGCACAACGGGCTGGTACACACCAGTGATGGACACCACTAACTTTCCAGTGTTTGGGGGAATCTGTCAATCACGTGATGCCTTTAAAAGAAAAGTGGGGGGAAAGGAAGCCACAGGATCTGTTGGGCTCCAGAGCATTCTCCGCTCTCTCTTCCTCAGGGATAGACTGCCTCTGAAGGAGGAGGCTCCATTTGGCAAGGTGGGCGAAGAGCGCCGTCTTACCCAGCCCTTCCTGAAGAGCTCAAACCCAGCAGTTTTCCAAACTTGGCAACCTTAAGAATTCTGGGAATCTCAAATTTTGCAAGTTTCGAAAAAGTTATTTTTCTAGTTTAGATGGGGAGGCGCCTGTCACCGGCTTCTCTCCCGCGCTCAGGGTACAGGTAAGTCCTCGACTTACAGCACTTCACTTAGCGACCGTCGCAGTGTCCTGGATTGCATGGGGGTCGTGAGATCCGCTTTTGCAACCTTCTAGACAAGCGAAGTCGGAAGATGGGGAAGTCGGATGCACCGAACGACCGTGTGACTAGCTTGGCAACTGCACTGGTTCACTTAACGACTGTGGCAAAAAGGTCGCAAAATGAGGTCAATGAACCACTGTCTCAGAAATGTTGGGCTCAGTTGTGGTTGTACGGCGAGGACCACCTACACCCAACAACTTTTTTGCCCACACGGAGACACCCCCGTGTCATGAATGGCAGCTGCTTCCAGCACTGAGGAGAAGAACTGAAAAGGGCGCTAGTCCTCATGACTTTGTAAGCGTCTCTTCCTGGGTGAAAACTGGGCCTGAGGCTCGAGGGCAAATATTTATGCCATCCCAATTCTTTTTGTTGCTGTTGTTATTTCCAAATTGTTTCGCCCACACGGTGTCTCGCTTAGCAACGGAAACGTTGGGCTGAATTGTGGACGTGCGATCTGTCCATCCGCCCCTTTCTGATTTTTATTTATTTTTTTGCAAATTTCAGGGCACCCACAAGCCGAGAGCCGAGCCAGCCATGATTCATCGAAATGAACTGAACTTTTGAATTCGGCCCAGCTGTTTTCGTGCCAACCTGAAAAAGTGTTGTAATACCGACAGGTTGTTTGCAGCCGCTAAAGTCCTTGGCTTCCTGCGGCCGATCCAAAAGAATCCGTTCTTGTGCAAAAGGAACGAAAAAAAAAATTTTCCCCCTCCAAACCCCAGATGGGAAAAACAAAGGGGGAAAAAAAGAGAGAGAGAGAGAGAGAGAGAATACAGCCGAGATGGTTGATTTACTCACTTGAACTTTCCAGTGTCCGCGATTCGGCCGCCTGGGTCTGATTGGCGGCTCCGTCGCCTGCACTTCGCGGGACGGTCACTCTCCACCGTGGGCCCTGCGGCTCCTTTTCGCTGCGTTGCAACGGGATGAGGGTGTTGACCTGGGAATTGGGGAGGTGGGGGACGGAGGGAGGGAAAGGAGAAGGGGGGATAAGAGAGATGGGCTTATTTTCAAAGGGAAGGAAGAGGGCAGGCATAGACTCTCATCCATGGAAACCGTTTGGCCTAGTGGTTAAAGCACCGGGAATTCTAGTGCCACATTAGTCAAGGAAGCCGGCTGGGTGATTTTAGGCCAATCACTAGGAGACGGTGAGTTTCAGTCCCACCTTAGGCACGAAAGCCAACTGGGTGTCTTTGGACCAATCACCAGGAGACACTGAGTTCTAGTCCCAGTTTAACCAGGAAAGACAGCTAGGTGACTTTAGACAATCTCTAGGAGATACTGAGTTCTAGTCCGTTTAACAGGAAAAACCGCTAGGTGACCTTGGGCCAATCTCTAGGAGACGGTGAGTTCTAGTCCCACCTTAGGCACAAAAGCCAACTGGGTGTCTTTGGACCAATCACCAGGAGACACTGAGTTCTAGTCCCAGTTTAACCAGGAAAGACAGCTAGGTGACTTTGGACAATCTTAGGAGACGGTGAGTTTAGTCCGTTTAACCAGGAAAAACCGCTAGGTGACCTTGGGCCAATCTTAGGAGACGGTGAGTTCTAGTCCCACTTAGGCACGAAAGCCAACTGGGTGTCTTTGGACCAATCACCAGGAGACACTGAGTTCTAGTCCCAGTTTAACCAGGAAAGACAGCTAGGTGACTTTGGACAATGTCTAGGAGACGTGAGTTCTAGTCCGTTTAACCAGGAAGACAGCTAGGTGACCTTGGGCCAATCTCTAGGAGACGGTGAGTTCTAGTCCCACCTTAGGCATGAAAGCCAACTGGATATCTTTGGACCAATCAGTAGGAAACTGTGAGTTCTAGTCCCAGTTTAACCAGGAAAGACAGCTAGGTGTCTTTGGGCCAATCTCTAGGAAATGTGAGTTCTAGTCCAGTCACCTTAACCATGAAAGTTGGCTGGGTGACTTTGGGCCAATTTGGCTCTGAATTCTAGTCCCCCCTTAACCTTAACAGCTAGGTGACTTTGGGCCAATCTCTAGGAGACGGTGAGTTCTAGTCCCAGCCTAACATGAAAGCTGGCCGGGTGACTTTGGGCCACATATGGTTGTGGTGGGGAAAGGAGGAGGAGGTTTGGACGTTCGTCGCCTTGAGTTATTATGCAAAAATAATAAAGGTGGGATACAAAATAAATAAATGAAGGCTGGTCCCGTTTGCCTTTCCTGGTGGGCCTCAAACTGCCTTAGAAAAGCTACACCCTTATACAGGGATTCCTCGACTTATGACCGCTACTGAGCCGACATTTCTGCTGCAAAGGAGACCTTCGTTAAGTGAGTTTTGCCCCATTCTACGGCTTTTCCTGCCATGTTAAGTGAATCGTCGTTAAATCGGTAACCTGGTTTGTTAAGTGACTCTGGCTTCCTTCCCCATGGACTTTGCTGGTCAGGCGGTCACAAAAGGAGGAATCGCACGTCGTAACTAGGAGTCAGCTGCCAAGCCTCCGAACTTTGGTCACGTGACTGTGGGGACCCCCACCAGGGTTGTAAGTTGTGAGGACAGTTGGGAGTCACTTTTTTCAGCTCTATGGTAACTTGTTAGGCAAATGGTCGTAAGTCGAGGACTGGGAGAAGACCACGGGAGAAGACTAAAACCTTCCCAAGCAAGGCTCACAACCAAATCGGTTTGCGCCCCGAAGGAAACCGCTGATCCATCACAAGGCTCCACTTACAAGGGAGCTGAAAAGGGGATCTTTAGTGATCGGGCTCCGAGACCTTTTGCAAGGCTGACCCCCCTGCCCCCGAAATTAATTTTCAGGGCTTCTCTTTGCCCTAAGGCTTCCCCGGGGTCACGCGGGAGTCGCGCACGCATGCGTAGGGGGTGGGGTGCGGGAGGGGGCACTGAATTATGGGTGTGGGCACATACATGGTGTGACACCACCACCCCCGCGCAACCCCCACTTTTGGCACTCAATGGCAAAAAGGTTAGCCATCAGTGCTCTAAGCTGTTTCGCCAAATTACAATATATATATATATTTTTAAAGTGAGCCTGGAAAAGAGGGAATATCCAGCAGATAGAGGGCCTGGTGGCTCAGCAGACTGATAGCATTGTGATTAACACCAGCTGCCTGCAATTACTGTAAGTTCGAATCTCTCCAAGGCTCAAGGTTGACTCAGCCTTCCATCCTTTCTAAGGTAGGTTAAATGAGGACCCAGTTTGTGGGGGCAATAAGCTGACTTTGTATAAATATACAAAAGGATGAAGGCTATTGCTTAGCACATTGTAAGCCGCCCTGAGTCTCCGGAGAAGGGCGGCATATAAATCAAATTTAAAAAAAAAAAAAAAAAGATCAAAGGACAGGTTAATGTTCACTCTTCAGGCATATGGAAATGTGGAAATTCTCACATTTGTGAGGCTCTGCCTCACGGTGTCCCAATCGGTTAAACTGCAAATAGAAGAAGGGCAACCGAGGGAACCCTTGAAGTCGGAGTTTTAAGACGGGTTGGACTTCAACTCCCAGAATTCCTCAGCCGGCCGCCTGGGAATTCTGGGCGCTTTGAAGTCCACCCATCTAAAAAAAAAAATCCCAACCACCTCACTGGAGAAAAGGTGCTTTTAATCCATTGTCAAAAAAGCCAATCAGGGGCCACCTGGCGTAGCCTAAACCTAAAACCAGACTCTTCGTAAGGAACAAGGGTGAGACTAGATGACCTCCATAGCCCCTTTCAAATTTTAGGATTCTCTGGCCTTTTCTTTCTTTGTTGCTTTTTAAAAAGTAGACCCCTTTGTATTTGGAATCAAAAGGTTTGCAAGAAAAACAGGGATGGGGAAGTGTATCTATGTGGCCCCTGGTAGGAGCCCCCCCTTTCCCTCGCCCCCCCCCTAAAAGTTAGGTAGCTACAGAATTAGGGGGGTGATCTGGGAAGAGCTGAGCCCCTTTCCCCTCTTAGTTGGAGAAAAATAATTAAAGGGGAGGGGGGCACAGTGGTTGTTGCCACGCTGTCAGCCTAACAAAGCCTCCGCATACTTGCTGGAACCCTCTGGAAATGCCGCATACCACATCCCCCATTATCCCCAGCCGTCAAGCACACGTCCCAAGCTGATAGGGAGTTTCTTTTCCATCTGACATTTCTGGAAGGTTTTTCCCAACCTCCTTGGGCTGAATTTCACCTGCCGTCCCTTCAATCCTCATTCAGCATTTCCCCCTCCCTAAAATGCCTCCCGCCCCCCACGGCCCATGGGCCACTGCCCTTTCAGGAAGCAGGAGACTCCAAAACCTAATTCCACCCACCCAAGAGAGCCGCTCCAGAAGCAACAGAATTTCCTTTTTAATGTGGGCAGGGGTGCTTGCGGTAAAAAAAAAAAAAACGAGAATAAACTTTAGCTTAGCTTAGTTTAGCATCTTATCTCATCCTTCCAAGACCCCTTTCCCATTCAACTCCCACTCCCCACCCACAGCCCTCCCTCACCTTCACCCTGCCTGCCTGGCACACCCCTCCCCACAAGTGATGCCTCCACTTGCCCTCCTGAAAAGTGGGGGTTCAGCCCGCTTCCCCATACCTTGCTCTGAAGACTCTTAATTTGCAGGTTCTGTTTCTCCATCCGAAATTGCTGCTGTTTGATCTTCTGCAGGAGTTCCTCCATCCTCACGTTCTGGCGCCTGACCAGGTTCTAACAGACAAAGGAAGAGAGGCGGTGGATAAAGGTGGTTAGTCCTTGTGTGTGTGTGTGTGTGTGTGTGTGTGTGTGTGTGTGTGTGTGTGTAGGAGGAGAGTGGTGAGCTGAAACAAAACAACAACAACAAAACCAAGAACCCAACTAGCCGTTCTAGAAAAGTACCCGAGGTGGACCACCACCCTATCTGGGGGTTGGAGTGGGGGGGAGAGAAACCCACCGGAGTCAACCTCAAAGCGCAGCTCCCGGACCCTCCGCCGGGCGCAGCGGCCGTTTCACTTCGGGGATCGCTTTGCGCAACTCGGGGAGCGTGGAGAAAAGCTAGAGGAAAGGATTTGGGGAGGGGGCATCTTGCTCACAACAGGACCACCAAGTCAAAGGTCTGAGTTTCCGCGAGGGAATTCGCACGGCCCGTGTGTGTGTGTGTGTGTGTGTGTGTGTGTCCCCTCTTTGCACACCTCCAGGTCGGCTTTCGGACCCCAACCCCAAAAGCGTTTTTACGCACAAGGTTTGCCTGGCGCACAGCTTTCTCCCCCCCGAGCGCTTTGGCGTGTTTTTTTAAGCCGTCAGGGAATCCGAGCCGGGCTGGTCTCGGCTTGAATGCGGCTGCTGGGCACAACCCCGGGGGTAGGTCCCTGCTGGCCCAGCCCGTTCCCGGGAAGATGCTGGAGCCCGTCCCGCTCGCCAAGGAAGGGAAAACGAGTCCAGGGGAATAAGGAGAAGGGGCGCGCCTCGCCCGCCTGCCTGCCCATCCTTCGGGACTGCTCTGCTCTCTGAAAGGCGGGGTCATTGGAATCGAGCTGGAAAGGGGACCTTGGAGGTCTTCTAGTCCAGCCCCCTTCCTCAGGCAAGGAGATCCGCCGGGGAAGGGAGGCGGCAGCGGCTGCGCCCGCAGACAAAAGGGACCTCTGCCCTCGTGCAGAGCGCCTGCTCGGCCTCTCCGACCACCCCAGCCTCCCGCCTGCCCGTCCTTCGGGACCACTCGGGGCTCTGAAAGGCGGGATCAGATTCAGAATCAAGCTGGAAGGGGAGAGGAGAGGAGAGGAGAGAAGAGAAGAGAAGAGAAGAGAAGAGAAGGGAAGGGAAGGGAAGGGAAGGGAAGGGAAGGGAAGGGAAGGGAAGGGAAGGGAAGGGAAGGGAAGGGAAGGGAAGGGAAGGGAAGGGAAGGGAAGGGAAGAGAAGAGAAGAGAAGAGAAGAGAAGAGAAGAGATGGGAAGGGAAGAGGAAGGGAAGGGAAGGGAAGGGAAGGGAAGGGAAGGGAAGGGAAGGGAAGAGAAGAGAAGAGAAGAGAAAAGAGATGGAAGGGACCTTGGAGGTCTTCTAGTCCAGCCCCCTTGCTCAAGCTGAAGGCGGCAGCGCCTCCGCCCGCAGACCAAGGGGGCCTCTGCCCTCGTGCAGAGCGCCTGCTCGGCCCCTCCGACCAGCCCAGCCTCCTTCGGGACGCACCTGCAGCGAGTCCTGTTCCGCCGCCGCCGCGGGGCCGCTGCTGTTCTGGGCTCCCGCCCGGTCCGTCCCGTCGAGCCGAGCCTCCAGCCGCGCCAAGCGGCCGTCGAAGAGGCTGTGGGCTCGGGCCAGCCGCTCCCTCTGCTCGGCCGCCGAGCGCTCCAGCCCGGCCAGCGAAGCGTTGTGCGCGGCCAAGCGGCCGCTCAGGTCCCGCAGCTGCCCGCCCAGCCGCTCGACGTGCTCGCGGAGCCCGTGGCCCAGCTGCAGCAGCCCGTGCGCCAGCACGTTCACCTCCTCCCACGAGGCCGCCTTCGGGGCCCGCTCCCGCCGCCCGGCCGCCCCGCCGGCCGCCCCCAGCCCCGCCAGCACCAGCCACGCCAGCAGAGGCGCCCGGGAAGGCATCGCGGCACGCAGGCAGGCAGGCGCAGCGAGAGCGAGACCGAGCCCAGCGCGCACCCCTCGCCGCCTGCGCCCGCTTTGGAGAGGAGGCGGCCGGCGCGCCCCCTTTTATAGACGCCGCCCCCCCCTCCCCTCCCCTCCCCTCCCCCGCGTGCGCCTCTCCTCTGGCAGCCAAAGAAAGGCTCCTCCGGAGAGGGCAGTGCCCGGAAGAGCGCGCGCAAAACCCGCGGTCGCCCTGAACTCTCCCTCCCGCCTCGCCTCCGGCTGCTCTGCGCCCTTGCGCTTCGGCCAGGATGGGGAAGGGCCCGAGGTCGCCCCGGACTCCCACTTCAGTCAATCAGTCAATCAGAAGATTTGATTGTTCGACCCCCTGCTCAAGCAGTGCGGATCTGGATGGGGAGGAACAGGCTCCGACTCAACCCTTCCAAGACCGAGTGGCTGTGGCTGCCGGCAGCTGGTGCCATTGCTGACTATTGGGGGCAAGTTATTAGCCCCCACGGAGAGGGCTCGCAACTTGGGCGTCCTCCTGGATGCACGGCTGTCTTTAGAAGAGCATATGATGGCCGTGGCCAGGGGGGCTTTTCATCAGGTTCACCTCATTCGTCAGTTGCGTCCCTTTCTGGACTGGGACGCCCTGCGCACGGTCACTCATGCCCTTGTCACCTCCTGGTTGGACTATTATAATGCTCTCTACATGGGGCTCCCCTTGAAGAGCACTCGGAGGCTCCAACTGGTACAGAATGCAGCTGCGCAGGTGATATTGGGAGCAAGATGGCGCTCATATGTGACACCTCTCCTACGCGAGCTGCACTGGCTCCCGGTGGTCTTCCAAGTGCGATTCAAGGTGTTGGTTCTTACCTTTAAAGTGCTCCATGGCTTAGAACCTGGGTACTTACGAGACCACCTTCTGCAACCAATAACCTCCCACCAACCAGCACGCTCCCACAGGGTGGGCCTCCTCAGGGTGCCGTCACTAAAGCAATGCCGATCTCCGTCCTTTCCGTCGTGCACTTAAGACCTTTCTGTTTCACCAAGCCGGGCTGGCATAAATCTCTTCTAATGGTTCTAAATCTTTATGCTGAAGATTCTTAACCGATGAACCAAATTGACTTAATCATATATTCACATTTTATATATATGTTATTTTAACTGTTCACCGCCCTGAGTCCTTCGGAGAAGGGCGGTATAGAAATTAAATAAATAAATAAATAAATAAATAAATAAATAAATAAATAAATAAATAAATAAATAAATAAATAAATAATAAATAGGAGACTTTCCTTATATCCAGACAAATGACTGTTCGGGCTCTTCTTAAAAACCTCCAGGGATGGAGCAGGACATAGTAGAGTAGGGACCTTCGAGGTCTTCTAGTCCAGCCCCCTGCTCAAGCCTACTCATGGTGGCAAATCTATGGCACATGTGTCTGAAGTGGCAGACGGAGCCAGGTCGCCTGGCACACACGGCATCGCCCGTTCCTCTTCCGGGTTTATGGGGCAGATGTGTGCGCAACGATCGGCTGAGCCTTTTCAGCCCTTGGCTGCAAAGGTTCACCATCCCTGCCCTTCAAGACAAGTGGCTGTCCAGCCTTTTCTTAAAAACCTCCAGGGATGAAGCACCCACAACTTCTAGTGGCAAGCTGTTCCCCTGGCTAATTGTCCTCGCTGTTAGGCAGTTTCTCCTTAATTCCAGGTTGCTTCTCTCCTTGGCTGGTTTCCATCTGTTGCTTCTCGTCCTGCCTTCTGGTGCTTTGGAAAATAGGCCGACCCACCCTCTTCTTTGGGGGCAGCCCCTCAAATACTTGAAATACTGCTATCATGTCCCCTCCTGGTCTTTCTTTTCTCTAGACTGGCCAGACCCAGTTCCTGCAACCGTCCTTCCTACGTTTTACTCTCCAGGCCTTTAATCCTCTTAGTTGCTCTTCTCTGCACTTTTTCCAAAGTCTCAATGTCTTTTTTGTAATGTAATGGGACCAAAACTGGATGCCGTACTCCAGGTGTGGCCTTACTCAGGATTTATAAAGCGGTACTAAGACTTTGATTCCATGATCGTTTTGAGGGCCTGGAGGTGGGTTTCCTCCTTGGCTGAAAAACCGAGAGAGCCATGACCCTCCGGGTGGCCCCGGGAAGAGGGTAGGTGATGCACGAGGGTCTGATGATCTGTTTTTGGGGTCCTTGGTGCTCTCTGAACTGGGTGGTTTTCTCGGAACACTTTTGGGAAAAGAAGGTAGGACGTTGCATTGAAGACAAGAGAAAAGAGAGCTGAAGCTTTGTTAAACTGACTCGCCCCCTAGTCTCCTCCGTCCCTTTCTCTGCGGGTACACAAGGCTCTCTTCTGGCACCTCCAGCCATTGCTTCCTAGCTGTCCTCTTGTTGCTTAACATTCTCACCTGGGATCACCTTCTACAACCATCCGTCGTAATCAAGGGCAGAACTTCCCTGAGTAGTAGCAACTCCTGTCTTTGAATAAAATTTGAATCCCTAAAAAAAAGGGACCTCCCAGACTCCTCCTGCTGGGCAGCTTCCATAAATTGCAGGAATTGACAACCACAATTGAGCCCCAAGTTTCTGTTGCTAAGCGAGACAGTTGCTAAGTGAGTTTTGCCACCGTTGTTAAGCGAATCACTGCCGTGGTGAAACTAGTCACACATTGATTTTGCTTGTCAGAAGGTCGCAAAAGTGGATCGCACGACCCAGGGACACTACAACCGTCATAACTATGGGTCTGTTGCCAAGCGTCCGAATTTTGATCATGTGACCATAGTTGCAACGGTCGTAAGTGTGAAAAACGGTCATAAGTCATACGGGGTGAATCCATCCAGTGTCAGTAGCGTGTGGTATAAATAGGACTCCATCATATGGTCGAACAGAACAGAATAATAGAGTCGGAAGGGACCTTGGAGGTCTTCTAGTCCAACCCCCTGCAGGAAATCCTGTATCGTGTCAGACAATGGGTTGATTAATCTTGGCCAGTTTTTCTCAATCTCGGCAACTTTAAGATGGGTGAATTTCAACTCCCAGAATTCCCCAGCCAGTGGAGGTTCTGGGTTCCTCAGACAATGAAGCTCAATTTGCAGATGATACTAAGCTGGCAAGAATAGCTAACACCTTAGAAGACAGGCTCAGGATCAAGATGGGCAGACTTGAACCCTGGGCCCTCTCTAACAAAATGAAATTCAATGTGGAGAAAAGGAAAATCTTACACTTAGGCAAGAAAAACCAAAAGTACAAATATAGACTGGGTGAAACCAGGCTTAATAGCAGGAACTGTGAGAGGGGTCTGGGAGTCTTAGTGGACAACCAGCTAAATAGGAGCCAGCCGTGTGCAGCAGCAGCCAAAAAAGCCAAGGCAATACTAAATTGCATTATCAGAGGGATACAATCAAGATCAAGGGAGGTACTAACACCACTCTATAAAGCCTTAGTAAGACCACACCTAGAGTACTGCATCCAGTTTTGGTCACCACACTATAAAAAAGAGGTTGAGACTCTAGAAAGAGTGCAGAGAAGAGCAACCAGGATGATGAGGGGACTGGAGGCTAAAACATACGATGAACGGTTGCAGGAACTGGGCCTGGCTGGTCTAGTGAAGAGAAGGACCAGGGGAGACAGGAGAGCATCTTCCAATGTTTGAGGGGCTGCCACAGAGAGGAGGAAGGGGCTCAAGATATTTCCCAAGACACCTGAAGGCCAGATGAGGAAGAAAGGATGGAAACTGAACAAGGAGAGATTCAACCTGGAAATAAGGAGAATTTTTTCTGACGGTGAGAGCAATCAACCCATGGAACAGAAGTTGCCTCCAGAAGTTGTGGGAGCTTCATCCCTGGAAGCTGTCAAGAAGAGACCGGACTCCCATCTGTCAGAAATGGGGTAGGGTCTCCTGCTTGGGGGGAAGGGGGTTGGACTAGTGTCGAGCGTCAGATGACCTACAAGGTCCCTTCCGGCTCTTGTTATTCTGTTCTGTTATCTCTGAGCATCACAGGAATCCGGTCCCTGGCTTAGCATGTCACGTGAATCAGGCGATCGAAGCCAGGCTGTGGTTCCTGTCTAGGCATCACACCTTGTGGGAATTGTGTTTTGCACATGCAGTTCAGCGTCTCCCTTGGGGGCCTGATCTCCCTCAACCAAAGCAGGAATCGTAGTGTTGTTGCACTGAGCGTCAGAGCTGATCGGAACCCGGTTTGTCGTCACTCTATATAAATAGACCTACAGCCCGAATCCCTGGCTATCTTCACCGTACACAATCCAGAAAGCCACACCCATACACACACACACACACCCGTCATCATTGTTTGGCCACGCTTTCAGTCTTGGGGAAGACCTCAGCAATCGTCAGACCCTGGGTTCTAGTTCTGCCTTAGGCACAATCCCAGCTGGGTGACCTTGGGCCAGTCATTCCCTATCAGCCCCAGGAAGGAAGCACCGGACCACCCATTTGTCTGAAATGGTATAGGGGTTTCCTGCTCAAGCAGTGGGGTTGGACTAGAAGACCTCCAAGGTCCCTTCCAACTTGGTTGTTTTCTTCTCTTCTCTTCTCTTCTCTTCTCTTCTCTTCTCTTCTCTTCTCTCCCTTCCCATCTTCTCTTCTCTTCTCTTCTCTTCTCTTCTCTTCTCTTCTCTTCTCTTCTCTTCTTCTCTCCTCTTCTCTTCTCTTCTGTTTTGTTAAGATTTGTGGCTTAGGGAGTGTGGCTTAACACTTCCCAGGAAGATCGTGGGGCCGATTTCACAACTCCGCAGGACTTAAGTCAACAATGGTTTCACAAGCTTTCCCACCAACTCTGCAAAGTAGGCCAATACTGTCCTATTTTCCCACCTAGCTCCTCCTTCTTCTCCGCTCCACAAAGTTTGGAGGATTCCTGGGTCAAGACTGGACGGTCTCTCTTTTTGCAAAAAAAAATGAAAGGACACCCTCTCCACCCCCCACCCCCCAAAAGCCACCGTCTCCGATTTCAGCTACGGAATTAGGAGCCCGGACACTGTTTCCAACTTTGGACAACTCTGCGCTAAGATTGATGCTTTTGGGAGGAGTGGGGGGGGGTGTTTGACGGAGAACAGCGTGAGCCCT